CAGAGACCGACTAGAAAACGCCTGCGGGGGAAAACGGCTATCATATTCGGCATTAGCATGGTCGATTACCTATTGTCCACTAGGTTTTAAGCCAAAAGCGATGGGGCAGTTGGTGGCCTTCCCTCGTCAGTCAAAATCCATCCAAACTACTTCAGAATGCCAAGATATACTATTTTATCTACAGTATACCTTAAAGCTCAACTAATGTTTTAAAAACCAAGAGAATACAGCTTGGTTTTGGAAAGGTTTTACAGAGACGTTCAAAACTAAGAGAAGATTTTTAGTTATCTCAAGTATAGGATCCGATTGTGTGAATATAATAGAGTATATCTTGACATTCTGAAGTAGTTTGGATGGATTTTGACTAAGTTATAAAGTTTTTAATTTTTGATGAAAATATCTATAAATGGGTTATTTCATCTAGTATAGGTTTTCACTGCGTTCTTGCATTTTGTTCTCACAATCAATGTTACGATGAGATTTAGTGTGTATGGTTGTTTATCTAGTACGAATGATGACGAGTGTAGAATAATGTTGTTATCATTGCAATGATTTCTCGTTGTATGATATTGGCTTGGTATTGCCGCTGTTGCAGTTATTTGTGTTGTAGACAGATTATTTACTGGTAATGATGCTACATTGCTTGTAGATGGTGATAAGGTCTGTAGTGCGGTATCTCTCGAATCTAATGACGATAGTTGTAGTGACAAATGTGTCGACAGTATAGCTGATTGAACATTACTCAATTCTGATTGTATCGGTAATAGTTGTAATGATGATGGTGAACGTTTCGTGGACTGACATGTACTTGTATTTGAAATCAATGTTGTACTTGTCGGTTTTGGTACTAGTTTAGGCATATCGAACAACTGGAATGCAACACCAAATAAATATTCATAGAACGACCACGCTTTTATACAAATATTTTTTTCAATGTATAATATTGGCATACCACTTTCATTTTTTTTATATTGGCACCGAAAAATAAGTCAATAATTGCTGTTCGTGCAGCTCTCACGAACTCCTGTGATATTTGTTTGTTCAGATTATCACCATCATCGAAAATTATCAATTGTTGATCGATTTTTTGTAAGACTTTTGTAATATTTACAAATAGTTGTATTAATGCACAATATTTTGGATAAATTTCCACAGTTTTTGCATAAAATGCTTCGATATGCAGTGGTATTGTTTTATCCGATTCAATAGCATTCAAATGATCAGCCGTTTTACTGAATGTATAAGCATAGGCTGAATCACAAAAATCGTCTAATTGTTCGTCCGATAGCTGTTTCGTTACAGTAGTTCTTGTTGTTGACGACAATAACTTAACTAGATCAACTGTTATGCTTGAGTGCGTTGCTTTGACTGTGATTGCTGCTGATGGCGATTGTATCGGACGAGTATTGTCGATTCCTAATAATGTCGGCAACACGGAATCTGAGAATACAATATATAAATGAAAAAAAGCTCAAAGCTGTACACTTCATGTTTAGTTACCTGTGCGCGTAAATCTATATTCTATGTCCCCAAATAAATGGCACACAGTCAACACATGAGCAATAGACGGTGCATTTTCAATTTTGACTCGATATAACATCTGCTCTGGTCTTGTAGCTCTGACACGAAGCAATGCCATGTAACAAAATCGATTATGTACACCTTCCAGACGACTTTGACATGACCATTGTTTCATCAGTAATGGATATCGATTACCGGTTGTACATCCAAGTATCGTCAATTTCGCTTTCGTTATATCGACGGCCGTTTGTGCTGTTGTACGCGTATCGCTGATAATTCGATCAAATGCTTTAATTAACAATGTGGCTTCCTCGGTTTTACCATCGTCCTCATATATCCCTAATTTGGAAAACGCTGGGTCGATTTCATCGCTTAATATAAACTGATCGCCTTTGCTTAGATGCATACGAAGCAATAATCCGTTCAAATTTGATATTATTGAAGGTATATGTTTTTCTTCATCATTGAATTTCATTTCATATTTGTACTTATCGCTGAACATATTAACAACTTTGTCGCAGGCTTCTCGTATCGGTTTTAAGTTTGTCGTCTTAGATGAACCTGCGATAAATTGGAAATGGAGAACAAATCCGTAAACTACCTGTATGAGACCGAAACATTTTGACTATATAGCGACGGAAAGAAAAATCTTAGATTTCGAATCAAAAGTGAAATCGTGCTCTGATCGACTCACATCTTAACTATAAGTATCATGAATGGTTTCGTCGATAGAAACTAACTCGTTCGATGCTCGATTAACTCCTAACCAAAATAACATAGCTTTAAATCGAGAAAAACAATAACATTACAATTATCTAAGAAATACGTCAGGTACTTCTGGTAAAGTAAACTCTCTATGCAATACTGATTTTCTGATAGCTTTACCTAGGAAGCAGGTTTTATACGAAAAAGAAACAGTCATTCGACACGTAAATTTGCTTTCTGCATGGTTTTTTGTGTATCATAACTTGAGTACTAGATCCCGTCATATGATCAACGAGTGGATACCTCTCGAAAACTATGATAATCATTTAGTGAAAGAAAAACTACCAGAAAGAAATGGAAAGTCTAAATGCATGATTGATTTTTAAAAAATTGTCAAACAAAACTATCGTTTCTTACCTGTCAGACCGATAATAACTGAATAAATATTAATTGGTTTCATTTGATGAAACATATTTATATAAAATGAATTTTGTCCAAAATGACTTAATGATGTTAAAAGACTAAAAAATGCCATCGGCAACGGTGAGCCATTCAGTAATTCATAATGGCGAAAAATCATCAATACATAACCGGACAATATTGTTGACAGATCAAAAGATACTTGTGATGCCTTCAATAGATTCTGATTGAACAATTCACCAAACGTATTTATTGTTTTTATCGCCATAACGTGTGTAGAAACGGCGAAATTTAGAAGACAAAAGAACGAATGAAGGAGGCGCAGTAAATGCAAAAATGAGGCAGTGATCATAAAAGAACAAGATAACATTCATTAAATAGTATTTCTTCTATAAATTTTACGCGGAGTGCATGTGTACACTTGTATTGCATCCAAAAGGATAAAAGACCACACCAACAGCCTAATAGTATAACAACAACTATGGGTTACCTTCGATATGGCTGGTGTTACTGTAGTCGCCAACTTTCCTCTTCTACGGATAACAGCCTGGTCCGCGTCATCTAGAGGGTTGGAACCGGTTGAATTTTTCCTAACCGAATCGTCCAGTTTAATGCGTAGGTCAACCAGCAAAAAGCCAATCGATTCCATAGCAGATTTGTGAAAAATCGATTTTTTGTAGAAAGTTGAGAAGTGAACGTAACTGGAAATGGTGAAGAAATTGAGGCTGATTATGCCTTTTTATAGGCAAATGTTTATCGAAAAAAATGCTACTGTATGTGGACGGCTGTGTTTTTCATACAGAAGCAATAAACGTATGAAGCTCAGTAGGAAAAAGAATAAAAATTAATCACTTTAATGAAAAAAAAATGTTTTTGGGCTACTTTTTCATGAAGACGGAAATTTTTCCGGATGAATGTTTTCGAAATGGGAAACAAAATAATGAGAGAAAATTTTCACCTGTGTTCATCTATATCCGAAATTCGCCAGTAATAGGACAAATATAAAATTAATTAATAGGTTATTTTTGTGATCTACTGCCTTTTTTCCATCTCCATTGGGGCGATTCGAATTGATATCTCGAACTTTTGTTCTACAGTATTCATATTCTGCTTGTGATTCGAAACTGGCAGCAACCGGTAGGCTGAAGTGTGGTTAAGCTAGTAAAAAAATCGGCGTTAACCGACCGATTGAAAAGTTCAGCCCGGCTCCAACTCTGCTACCAATTAGCAATAAACATTTACCAGCTGCCCTAGAAAAAGAATTTTCTGCAATTCTGATAAAATTCTTATCAAATTCTTATATAAGATTACGCAGGAAAATGAATGGAGTTTGATTAGAGTCTTATAAGAAGCTGGTAAGAAAGTCTTAAGAATTTCATAAGAAAGTGGTAAGAAGTTCTTATCTGTTTCTTATAGACGTGTTACAAAATGTTTATTCTTAGCGAGTTTTGATAAGAAGTTTCTGACATATTTTGTCCTACCAAGACCTTTCAGAAAAGTTAATTTTAAATTATTCTGGACAACGACTAATTTAACAATTCCTTGTTACTCAGCGAGACAGTAAGAAACTCAGCGTTTGACTATGAAACAAAGTCGTTGTACTCTCGAGAGTTCTCTGTCTTTAGTTGTCGATGATCGTGTGATTTTTTTTCCACTATTCAGATGCACTACTGACGTAATTTAATTCTTGAACATTTTTCAGATCGCTTACAAAACACGTGATTCACGTTCACAATTTGTGAACGAACTTATATAGATCTGAGGCACTCGATTATAAATATAAAGCATCTCAAAAATGACAATAAGCCAGAACTATAAGCAATTCATACTCCATGGAGTTAAAATCTAAAACAAAGGTGTACATTTCATAAAATAGGATTAGAGATCTAAAAGCCCTTGATTTGTAGACTTCATAATTTCTAGATTTCTGACTCCAATTTTGCCGAAATATACAACGAGACTTGAATTCACATTTTGCTGCAACAGCAAAGTGGACATATTATGTTAGTAATGCACTCGTGGTTTACAGAACTTTACTAGAACAATTGCCTCTGAATTGATTACTATTCAGAAACCATTTTCACCAGTCCAAGCGACATTGAATTTAAAAGATAAAACAGAAAAATTCACGCGATCTAATGTGGCTACATTATTTTTTGTGCTGCTTGTGACACTGCATATATTGGATAGGCATGTAGCCGACTTGGAGAACATATCTTTCCTGGTGATCATTATATGTTGTCTAATATGAATTCATTATATTCCAGCATTCGAACTTCTTCTATCCCTTGTATAGCAAGCAATACTGCTTTACAATAATTAGTTTAGGTAAAATCTAGAGGGGTGGGGGGAGGGTACTTTTTTTCCCGTGAAGAAAAAAATGCAGGTTGCAAAAATGAAAAGAACACAGATGCATTTGGCCATGACGCCCTTGCTCTTGATTCGAAATGTATGATTATTTCTATTCGAAAAACACAGCAGAAATAAAAGAACATGGTCCTCTAATCCGACTGGCAACTCACAAATCTTAGGTTGATCTGTTACTAGGGGATGATCTATTATTAAGGGATGGTTTTCAATTATGAGTGTGGATTCACCATATGATAGATTGTTATAATGTTCCACGCTTTAATCTAAATTGAGTTATAGAGTTGGATGCTATACGCACCCGTGTTTCACCAATTCAATATCCAGAGATATATAACTTATCTCATCGTTCTTTCGCTTTCAAGAGCTCCCACCTTCAAAGCAATGCTCAGATTGGTAACTTACGTAAAAGAACTGCATTGTTTGAGAAGTCTAATACCCATAAAACACTCGTTCTCAGGGTTCAGCACTCAGCAATTTCTCAACCAAATCATTCCTGATTAAAACTCACTACTCACAAGTCTCTTTTATTGACCAAGCATCCTAATTAACATTGTTATAAAACACTTCAGAGTTAAAACTTGCAGGCCTCAAAACTTGAAGTGAAAATTAGATAGCCAATACCTGAGAACAAACTCCTCCTCCTTGGTAAGACAAGGAGAAAATCCTGTATATAAAAATGGCTTCAGAGAAAAAGCGAAGATTTAAGTTTCTTCGCACTAAAAGCAAGTCTGAAACCATATAAGCATACACCAAAAAACAAAAAACTTAACATACAAACAACTAAACAAGTAGCCGTCACATGCATACATAACTACCCTCCTGCAGCTTCTTTATTTCGGACAGCCTCTTCACAACCTTGAGCCGGTCAGGATGTCTTGCCGAAAGTACCTTTTCACGACTCTTCAAGCATCTTTCAAAGAACTCCACCGCACGATCATACTCGCCTTTACTGTCATAAACACTGCCAATACTACTCAGACTACTAGCAATATCTGGATGTTCATATGGCAAACATTTTTCTTGAATCTTCAGACATTTTGAATAATAGTCCAAAGCACGATCATACTCGCCTTTGTTGTCATAAACACCGCCAGTATTATTCAGACTAGTACCAATATCTGGATGATCAGATGGCAAACATTTTTCTCTCATCTTGAGACATTTTGAATAATAGTCCAAAGCACGATCATACTCGCCTTTGCTAACATAAACATTGCCAATACTACTCAGACTAGTTGCAATATCTGGATGATCAGATGGCAAACATTTTTCTCTCATCTTGAGACATTCTGAATAATAGTCCAAAGCACGATCATACCCGCCTTTGCTAACATAAACATTGCCAATACTACTCAGACTACTAGCAATATCCGCATGATCAGATGGCAAACATTTTTCTCTCATCTTGAGACATTTTGAATAATAGTCCAAAGCACGATCATGCTCGCCTTGGCTGTCATAAACACTGCCAATATTATTCAGACTAGTAGCAATATCTGGATGATCAGATGGTAAACATTTTTCTTGAAACTTGAGACATTTTGAATAACAGTCCAAAGCACGATCATACGCGCCTTTGCTAACATAAACATTGCCAATACTACCCAGACTACTAGCAATCTCTGGATGATCAAATGGCAAACATTTTTCTTGAATCTTCAGACATTTTGAATAATAGTCCAAAGCACGATCATACTCCCCTTTCCTGTAATACACCAGGCCAATACTAAGAAGACTAGTAGCAATATCTGGATGATCAGACGGCAAACATTTTTCTTGAATCTTGAGACATTTTGAATAATAGTCCAAAGCACGATCATACTCTCCTTTGCTAACATAAACATTGCCAATACTACCCAGACTACTAGCAATATGTGGATGATCAGATGGCAAACATTTTTCCTGAATCTTGAGACATTTTGAATAATAGTCCAAAGCACGATCATACTCGCCTTTGCTGTCATAAATACGGCCAATACTATTGAGTGTTCTAGCTAACGCTTTCTGACGGAGCGGCCTGCACATCATCGTGGCTGCATAGCTATGCTCGTATAGGTGCAGTGCTTCGTCGTACTCGCCTCTGAAATGGTGAGCACGACCAATATTAAACTCAATGTCACTTATAATTTCTCCTTCAGAATTTTCAGATAGATTCTCAAAGTACTTCATTGATTTGTCATACTGTCCCATATCACACAGAAGTGAACCAAACATGACGGCAATGCTTGTTTCTTCTAGCTCTTTTCTATTCAATTTGATATACTCTCGTGCTATATCTGCTCCGTTGCTTGTTACTCTTAGGTTTACACGACTGAGATCCGGCTTTTCACGATTAACTGACTGAATTTTGAAAGTTGCACCTAGATCAAACAGGACTTCCTGCTCTTCTGGATAATCACTAAACTTAGCGACGTCAGCACACACAATAGTATCATCGTTCAACTCACTCAAATCATACTCAATCTCAAAGAGAACAACAACAGCGTCTCGACGCTTCGTCGACTGAGATGCGAAATTCAGAGCCACTGAGGACAAACGACTTGTTGACACAAAGCCATTCATGGAAATGAGTTTACCTTCATTCTCTTTCAGCTTTTCAACTTCTTCATTCGACAGTTTCACACCACGATAGACTCGAAGCACACCCTTCTCGCGCTCTCTCATCTTCTTATACTCTTGTGCAA